AGCGATATTGAGAAATAATCTGAGGTTTGAAGTGAAAAAGTAATACCGTTTTTGAATAGCCGTGAATTCATGTAGAGGATACCTTTTGATATGAAAGAGTATTCATTAGAAAGCTTTAATGGAGTACTTTCATTTTACTCTAACAACGAATTTCGAGTTTATTATAAAAATCACGAGATATTTTAAAAAACTTCATGTGACACGAATTTCGAATTTATTTTCACATATAGAAAAGCAGCCTCAGGGAAATGTCACACGACTATTATATAAAAAATCCATTAAATCTGTTAAACCAAGGTAAAATTGTTATAGAAAAATTTGGTTTGAAAATTTATCCGCTAAACCCCCAAATCCGCTATACCAAGACTCACTGTGTAAAAGAAGTGGCTGCTCCCAGGAAAACCATCCTTAAAACCATATTATCTTTGAAATCATCATCAGGATTTGATAAAGTTTGCTCCATAAAATAACCAAAACAGTGTAAAACTTCAAACAGATGTGATTTATTTTTTTGTAAAGTGTTAAGTGCTAGACAATATGGATAAAAAAGAGCTTCTAATTCTGCCAATTTACCCCAGAATTCTGGATCCTCTAAAATTGATAATACACGATTTGCCATAATAACATTATTTTGTTGATTAGTAACAGAATCATCATTGACAACTGTGACATCTCCAAGTTCATTTATACCTGCAAGTGACTAAATTAAATAAATTAATTACAAAAAAAAAAAAATGATAAATTAATGAATATCTCTACATGAAAATTGCCTAAATTTATATAATAAAATAAGGCTATACCCACCCTTAATGCTCTTTTATTTTTCAAAATTGAATTGTAACACATATAATATGAGTTCCATCTAGTCTTTCCAGGTTTTACTAGTGAATATTGACTACCATAAATTTTTAATTGTTCATCACATAATTCACCTAAAAAAAAAGTTGATGCATTGAAATAACTAACAACCACTTCAGCTTTTCTTGAGGTAGTAAGGAATTCAGATGATGATTTAAGTATGTCAGCAATACAGAGATTTGTCTGGTGTGCAAAACATGGGAGGAAAATAATATCTTTATATATTCTTAATTTTTTTCTAAATATATTTATAAAATGAAATGTAATTCAGTAATTCATCTTTTTTCCAAAAAAGCATAATTAATCAATCATTACCTTGCTGCATTGTAAGCTGATGCAGAATCAGTTACTGAATCATTGATTTTTATATTCTTTATTCTAGTAGTATTTATAAATTCACTTATTTTTTGTACAACAGCTTCAGTATGTGACCTTTGACAGCTTATATCTTCAGCTCCCCAAATTAATACTTGACCATCTGATCTTGTTAATACAAAACCTAAAATATTTTGCTTTGCAACATTCTTCCATCCATCCAATGAAATAGTTACACCATGTTGGTCTTCTTTTGCTGCTGTTTCAATTACTTGTTGTATATCTTGAGAAAAATTCTTCAAGACATCATTTGATAATTTTTTCCTACTTGGGAACTTTACACAAGGTGATAAAATTTAAAAAATTCTATGGTTTCTTCATTTTCAGTCCAACGAAAGGACCAGCCATTAGATATTGTCATTTTTAACAATAATTTATTGAAAATTGTTTCTTCATTAGGACGAAGTGGTCTTCCAATAAATTCATTTATTTTTGATTGCCTTGATGATAACGTTTTTTGTTCTGGAATTTTTTTCAACCTTTTATTTTGATTTATATGTGAAATATTAAATGAATTGGAACTTTCAGACAGAGGAGATGTAATAGATGAATTATCATCCAGCTCTGTTGTAAGATCATAAACTAACAAAATAAAATATGATTAATTATTGCTTTACATATATTAATTAAATATAAAATACATACAATCAACGTCAGCATCAGCATCAACTTCAACTTTTATACTATTATTAAGTCTTGACTCAATTCTTTTTCGTTTAATCATTTCTAAATGTGAATTTATTGATTCCAATTCATCTGGATTAATAGTTGCAAAGTTTTCACAATTAATTAGGTGTTTACCAATAGATGGAACAGTATTAGAAATTTTTAATTGCGTAGCATTATGTAAAGACCATTCCCATCCTTTTATTTGTATGCAGGCTTTGCAGATAGCTAAACAATTACTTTTATTAACCATTATCTCTCTTTTTGTTACAACATATTTGCAAAAAATATGTGAAGGTTTTCTGCCTGTGTGTCTACTACTCATTTTTAAAAAAAAAAATTTTTTTTCATTACAATTATTCTCTTATGAACAAATATTTTTTAATATAAGTTATCTTTTATTTCCTAAAAATAATCTCTTATTTATAATGATAAAAATACAGATAATCTCATCTATCCCGAATGTCTAACATAAAGCTCCTCACAAGCTGGCTTGTGAGCCAAAAAACTTATTCAGCTTGCGAGCTGGCTTGTGAGCCTACTAGGTTATTTGGCTTGCGAGCTGGCTCATGTGGAGCCTTAGTCTAACACTTTCAAATATCTGTGTAATAATTTACGTTATAATTAAATCATTGATAAATGTATATAACAATTTATGGAAATAAATAAGAAATAGTCTAAACATTATAGTCCAACAAATTATTTCTTTATTTTAGATAGTTAAACATCAATTATCATGCATACAGGCATGCTCAGTAAAAAGTAGTTTTTATACATTTATTACATGAAGTGTTGTTACATTAATAAAAACCAAAGTATATAATTACATAAAATTACAAATATTCGAATATGGAGTTAGTATTAGAGATATGAATAGGAGGAACACTAATTGGAACTAATGATGGTGGCCGAAACTAACCCATAGTTTAGGCATTTAGGCAATTTCGGTTTAGGCCTAGTTTCGCCCATGAAGTTTTTCTGGCGAAATTGGCAAAACTTAAAAATTGCCTAAGCCATGGGCGAAACTCCTAAACCGTGGGCGAAACTCCTAAACCGTGGGCGAAACTCCTAAACTGTGGGCGAAATTCCTAAACTGCAAAACTTATTAATATTAGTGTTTAAATTTCTACTATTCATGTAATGACCTGGATTCTTAAATAAGCATTTTCTCGTCAATGTCCAACTACAACTTTGTCTGTTT